TTTATTTAATAAATATAAATTTCAAAAGTACAACTTTTGGATTATAGCAGTTTTTCCCCCCATAACCATCCTCCCACCTGCAAAGCATCCCATCTCCTACTCCCTCTCCCATCCCATTCTTCACTAAGATTCATTTTTAATTATCTTTATATACAGAAGATCAACTCTGTACTGAGTAAAGATTTCAGCAGATTGCACCCACACAGACACATAAAGTACTGTTTGAATACTAGTTTTACCATTAATTCTCATAGTACAACACATTATGGACAGAGGTCCTACATGGGGAGCAGGTGCACAGTTACTCCTGTTGTTGATTTAACAATTGACACTCTTATTTATGACGTTAGTAATCACCCGAGGCTCTTGTCATGAGCTTTCAAGGCTATGGAAGCCTCTTGAGTTCACCAACTCCGATTTTATTTAGACAAGGTCATAATCAAAGTGGAAGTTCTCTCCTTCCTTCAGAGAAAGGTACCTCCTTCTTTGATGGCCCATTCTTTCTGCTGGGATCTCATTCACAGAGATCTTTCACTTAGGTCATTTTTTGCCAGAGTGTCTTGGCTTTCCATGCCTGAGAAACTTTCATGGGATTTTTAGCCAGATCCAAATGCTTTAAGGGCTGATTCTGAGGCCAGAGTGCTGTTTATGCCCTCTCTCTCTTTACTCTGTAATGCAAATTCTAGTTGCTTCACTTTCCTAAACACCAATCTGGTTCTTCAACTCATCTGAATTCCTTGGTTCCCTTTCTGTTCTTCACATCCTGTGTTAGGTTCTGCCTTATCCTCTAGATTGGACACCTCGGTGATGGAAGGGTTCATCTAATTTTTTCCCCCTTTTTTCAAGATCTCAGTCCAGGAATGCCTGTTACACAAAGTGTGAAATAGTTGTGTCCTATATTTTGTTAAATCATCTAGTGATTTACATCTAGCATAATGTTTCATCCTGTTACTCCCTCATTGCCAGAAGTGGAAATTCTGCCACATATATTTAAATCTCTCAAGTTGTTTCAAGTTTCAGTAGCACTTGATATGGTCAAATTATTACCTTCTTGTGCTTTATGACCTCATTTCTTTTTTTCTTTTTTTAAAGATTTTATTTATTTATTTGAGAGGTAGAATTACAGACAGAGAGAGGGAGAAACAGAGAGAAAGGTCTTCCATCCGCTGGTGCACTCCCCAAATGACTGCAAAGGCTGGAGCTGAGCTAATCTGAAGCCAGGAGCCAGGATTTTCTTCTGGGTCTCCCATGTTGGTTCAGGGGCCCAAGCCCTTGGGCCATCTTCCACTGCTTTCCCATGCCACAAGCAGAGAGCTGGATTGGAAAAGGAGCAGTGGGATGCCGGCACTGCAGGTGGAGGCTTAGGCTACTACGCCATGGTGCTGGCTCCCATCTCATTTCTTGAATATTGGTGTCTGTTTTGTTTTGTTCTTTATTTTTTATTTAAGATATTTTCTTGATGATTTTGTCCCGAGTTCTCACGGCTTTAGGCTCTATTTATGTGCTGATGACACCAAAAACTATATGTTTACATCAGATCTTTTCTGGGGTTTACATATCTAATTGCTTATTGGAAATTTACATTTTGTTGACTAGAACTGAACCTATCAGATTCCTCTCCAAACCATTTTCCTGATGCTGCTAGCCAGTAAGTGGCATTGCTTTCTGCTTATTTGCCTATGCCAAAGGTTAAGAGACAAGATCAATTTCTGTCATAATCCCATATTTAATCAAAACACATTCTGTTGCTGCTGTCTCTTTTATATACTGAATAGTTCATCTTCCATCCATTCTTACTGCTAGTACTGAATTACTATACATTTATATTTTGAATCAGCTCCTGGATAGTTCTCCTTCTCTGCCCTGGTTCACTGAAAATTCTTTCTCTGCATTTCAGAGGAAGTGATCATTTTAAAATAAAATTTGTTAACATTCCCAAGGCTGTGTTTTACCTAGGCCTGCTTACTTCTGCATGCAGATCAGTTTTACTTTGTGCTTCAGTCATACTGAATTATTTTTCCTATGTTGAACATGCTATGTGTAGTCTCAGTTCTTGTTTCCAGATATCTCCACATGGCAGATGGATGATCTAACAAAAGCAAAAACAAAACAAAACAATGACATTTCTGTATGGCAAACAGTCAAATAGACCACAAAACTTAAAACATGTAAGTGAGGTCAAAATACAAATGAAAATATTTGTAACCTAAAAAAAGGCTAATTTCCTTTGTATATAGGATAAGAAAAAGATTGACAGTAGGAAACTAGTGAAGAATGTGAACAGGTAGCATGGTTTCATAGCCATATGAAAATAAGTTCATCTTCACTCATAATATAAATTAAATCTACACAGAGTTAATAAACTGGATCAAATCCAGACAATTTGATTAAATACCCTATTGTGGTGGAATTGTGGGAAAAGAAGCTGTCTCATATATGGAAGAATAAATTGGTATAAGCCCTGTGGAGAACAACTTGCTAATCTCTATCAATATAGTAGATCCCTTTGTCCAAGGGAGATAACATTCTAAGACTGTTGTGGATGCCTGATACCACAGATAGTGCCAACCCTATATATATTGTTTTTTTTTTCTATACATACTTACCTTACTTTATAAATTAAGTACAGCAAGACATTAACAATAATAACTAATGAATTTGAATAATTGTAATAATTTTACTATAATAAAAGTTATGTGATCTCTCTTCCTCAAAATATCTTTTATTTCACTTTTTCACTTGAGAAGGCACTTTATGGCTTCTCTTTTGCATGTCTAAAATGCTAGCATCACTACTCTTATACTTTGGGGCCATTTTTTAAAAAAAGGTTTATTTATTCATTTGAAAGGTAAATTAGAGAGAGAGAAAGATAGCTTCCATCTGCTAGTTCATTCCCCAAATGGCTATAATAGCCAAGGCTGGGCCAGGACGAAGCTGGAGCTGGGAACTCCATCCCAGCCTCCCACATTGATGCAGGGGCCCAAGCACCTGGGCCATTTTCCACCGCTTTTCCCAGGTTATTAGCAGGGAACAGGCCTGGCAGTGGAGCAGCTGGGACTTAAACCTACACTCATATGGAATTCCATTGTCACCACCACAATGCCAGCCCTGGGGCCGTTATTAAGTAAAATAAGGGTTACTTAACAAAAGCACTTTAATATTGTGACAGTCAATCTGATAACCAAGAAATCTACTAGGCGATGGGTAGCATACACAGTGTGGATACTTTGGGCAAACAATGATTTATGTCCCAGGCAGGATGGACTAGCATGGAGTGAAATTTAATTGTGCTACTCTGAATGTCGCACAGTTTAAAACTTATGAATTGTTTGCTTCTGAAATTGTTCATTTAATATTTTCAGAATGCTGTTTAAGGTAGCTGAAGAAATGAAAAGAGGAACAAGAGACAGGGGTGAGGGGAACTATTATGTACCTGAGTATTTGTATAGATAAAAATTATACCATAATGTAATCAACAATTGTAATAATTACTAATAGTTATGATAGTGATCTTTTTAAAAGTTAATTTATTTGAAAGGCAGAATTACAAAGAGGCAGAGGCAGAGAGAGAGAGAGAGAGGGGTGGGGGTCTTCCATCCACTGGTTTGCTCCCCAAATGGCCACAATGGCCAGAGGTGAGCTAATCTGAAGCCAGGAGCCAGGAGCTTCTTCTGGGTCTTCCATGCTGTGCAGGGGCCCAAGGATTTGGGCCATCTTCTGCTTTTCCAGGCCATAGCAGAGAGCTGGATCAAAAGTGGAGCAGCTGGGCCTGGAACCGGCACCCATATAGGATGCCGGCATTCAGTCAGTGGCTTTACATGCTATGACACAATGCTGACCCCATGATAGTGATCTCTTGTGTTAGTTATATCACATTATTGAAATTATGTCAATCATGATGAGTATATACTTATATATACTTGTCAGTGTAAATTTAATTGCAATTTTTATTTATATAAAGGGAACAAGTTTCATGTGTTTCATAAAAATCTTTTAAAGATTTTTTAAAAGATTTCTTTCTTTCTTTATGGAAAAGCCAGAATTACAGAGAGAGAGGGAGGGAGACAGAACCAGAGAGAGAGAGAGAGAGAGAGAGAGAGGGAGGGAGAAATCTTCCATCTGCTGGTTCCCTCTCCAAATGGCCATAATGGCCAGGAGCCAGGAGCTTTTTCCAGGTCTCCCACGTGGATGGCAAGGGCCCAACACTTGGGTCATCTTCAGCTGCTTTTCCCAGGCCATTAACAGGGAGGTGAGTCAAGTGGAGCAGCCAAGATGTGAACCAGTGCCCATATGGGATGCCAGTATCATGGGCAGTGGCTTTACCTGCTCTCCCATATATACAGTTTGAAGAACATAATAATTCTTCCTACCCCACCCTCCCTCCTTCTTCCAGCCTTTCTTATTTTTATTTTAATTATTTAATTGCAGTTTCTTTTATATTTGTATGCATGTGTATGCATGTGTGTGTATTCTCTTGACCTCATAGTTTCACTTCTGGAATTTATCCTATATTAGCCATGTAAGAATTGACTTACATGTAATGTTATTCATTGCAGCATTGTTTTTATAACAAAGGAGAACCTAGAAGTCTATAAGTAAAAGAGGGCAAGTAAGATATGCTGTGTCTTTGTAATGGAACAGGATGTAGCTATTAAAAAGAATGAGGATGCTTTTTGTGTGCTGGTGTTGTAAAAATCTCCAACATAGAACATAGGACTATATATTATATTATTCATGTGTAAAGAAGAGTGTGATAACAATGCTATACTGTGTTAAAAATGGAAAGGATGGGGATTAGGAAGGTATTCATATTTGTATAAAGGTCTCACAAGAAAGTAATAAAAGTTTGGGGGTGCTGCTGGGCACATGTGGAATATGAGTGGAGGCAGACTATTTACACCTTTTTTGTATTTGATTTTTGAGCCATCTGAATATATTGCTTATTAAAAATAGAAATCTTGTAAAAGGGCTTAAAGAAAATATTTTCTTTTTCTGTACAGTAAGCTAAAAAAGCTGAGTGAAGACAGTTTGACTAAGCAACCTGAAGAAGTTTTTGATGTACTAGAGAAGCTTGGAGAAGGGTAAGTATAAAAAATATGAAAGTAGTATTCAAATAATGACAAAACAATTAAAAATACTTTGTGACATTAATTTTTCAACTAGAGTATATCAGCTTGACTTGAATAGTAATAGCAATTAAACTTGGCAGTCAGCAGGAAATTTTAAAGATCATATTGTGCTAGATCTGGTAATAAGTATTTTTCAAAGAAGTAGTCCATATAAAAGGGAAAACCTAGAGTTTGAAAGGGTCTCTAGGTGGTTTAGTTCATTCTGTCTGACATTCTCATTAATAGGGTTGAAAGATTTTAACTCTGGACATTTTTTTAGGACCTTGGGCTCATTTTATTTGGGAAAAGGTATGTGAATAGTATGTCTCAATGAGGAAACAACATGTGTAGGCAGAGGAATAATGACATGGCTTCAAAATAGCAGTAGAGAAATGTTTCATACTGAACACAGAAAAAGGTAGGGAGCATTTAATGCAGTGGCATACAAGACAGCTTCAAGAATAATAAAAGATGCAAAATAGAATTAACAGCAGCTCAGCAAGAACAAGAAAAGGAAATAGAGAATACAAAAATGTAATATAATAAGGTAAATGTAAGATGGATGAAATGAAATCAGATCATCACTAAGTGTCACTTTGGCTGTCTTCTGCTGCTTTCCCAGGTGAGTTAGGTGGGAGCTTAATTGGAAGTGGAGCAGCTGGGTCTTGAACCAGCACCCATATGGAATGCTGGCATGGCAGGTGATGGCTTAACCTGCCGTGCCACAATGCTAGCCCCTCTATGAACTTTTAAAAGTACCGTCATATATCCTTGCATTCTTCCTTTTTTTAGGGTATATTTATGGGCAGAGAAAAACTACAATTGTTTAAAAGATTTATTTATTTGAAAGACAAAGTTTTATATATATAAATATATATATAAAGTTTTATAAATATATAAATATAAATATATATATTTAGAGAGAGAGAGAGAGAACGAGCTCTATCTGCTGGTTCACTCCCCAAACGGCCGCAACAGATGGGGCTGGGCCAGGCTGAAGCTAGGTGCCAGGAACTTCTTCCCAGTCTCCCATGTGGGTACAGGATCCCAAGGAATTAGGTCATCCTCTGCTGCTTTCTTAGATTCATTAGCAGAGAACTGGATCGCAGTTGGAGTCCTGGCTCTCGTATGGGTTGCCAACATTGCAGGTAGTGGCTTAAACCTACAAATTCTAAAAATTCCAAAAAACCCCCTACAAATTCTAAATAAACTCTTACAGGTCACATTTTCTGATTACAACCTAAATTAGAAGTAAGTAACTAGGGTTGGCGCCGCAGCTCACTAGGTTAATTCTCTGCCTTGCGGCACCGGCACACCGGGTTCTAGTCCCGGTCGGGGTGCTGGATTCTGTCCCAGTTGCCCCTCTTCCAGGCCAGCTCTCTGCTGTGGCCAGGGAGTGCAGTGGAGGATGGCCCAAGTGCTTGGGCCCTGCACTTGCATGGGAGACCAGGATAAGCACCTGGCTCCTGCCATCGGATCAGCGCGGTTTGCTGGCCGTGGCGGCCATTGGAGGGTGAACCAATGGCAAAGGAAGACCTTTCTCTCTGTTTCTCTCTCTCACTGTCCACTCTGCCTGTCAAAAAAAAAAAAAAAAAAGTAACTATAATATTGACAAAGATATGAAATTGGAAGACATATTCTAAAATAACCCGTGGATTGAATAGGATATTACAAATTATCTAGAAACCAGTGAGAAGGAGGATACATTGTACCAACATTTCTGCAGAAAACAGCAAAACTTGGTAGGGGGAAAGACTTAGTTTTAAATTCTTTCATTACTGAAGAAGAAAGGTGAAAAATTAGAAACTTAGTGTTTGCTTAAAGAAATCAGAAAAATAATAAAATAAAAGAAAAATTAAGAAGAGAGAATTAATAAAAGAAAATGCTTTGATTAGTGAAAGAGAAAACCAAAATTTAAATGATGAACACAAAAGTTTGCAAACAGATAGATAAAACACTTTAATCTCTTCTGATGTTGACAAAACAAGTTAGAGTAAAAATGTAGAAGACTTGGAATAATAAAGAAAATATGACCATTGATAGAGAAGTGATTTGAAGAATTGACTACCATGTGCTGCTCTATAACAACTGATTTAAAAATCCAGAAGAGGGGCTGGCACTGTGGTGCAGTGGATTAAACTGTTTGTGGTGCTGGCATTCCATATGAGCACCAGTTTGAGTCCTGACTTTTCCACTTCTGTTGCAGCTCCCTGCTAATGTGCCTGGGAGGAGCCACCTATGTGGGAGACCTGGGTAGAGTTCCTGCCTCCGGGCTTTGGCTTGGCCTGGTAGAGAGTGAACAATAGCTGAAAAGATCTCTCTGCTCTCTCTGTCCCTATAACTCTGCCTTTCAAATGAATAAATAAATCTTTAAAAAAATCCAGAATCAACTGAATATTTCCTAGTAAAGTATAAATTATATAGATTGACAGCCAAAGTTAAAACTTAAATCGGTTACCACAGATAACATAGAAAGGTGACTAAGTGCTAATTCAAAAAATACCAGCTCAAAGCATTGCTATTCACAGTAACCAAAATGAAAACATAACTCCAGATGTCTGTCATCTGAAGAGTGGATAAACAAAATGTAAAAATGTGGCACATCTATGCACTAGCATTTTAACCGTGAAAAGGAATGAGCTACTCATACAGTGCTATAATGTGAGTCTACCTCAAAAAAATTATGCTTGGTGAAAGAAGTCCAGTGGAAAAGGTCACCTGTTTCATGAATAGATAAATCCATAGAGACAGCCTGTTTCACGTGTTTTGAAACCACATGTTAGTAATGGTTACACAATATTGTAAACCTGCTAAATGACACTGAGTCATATACTTAAAACTGTTTTAAAAAGTTAATTTTATATTTTGTATATTTTACCATCCTTTGCCCAAAAAATGGTACCAAATAAATTATATCCAATTTTTATACAGGACAGATAATTATATTTAATGTTAAGAAGGCAACATAACTATTTTATTTTATTACTGTTTTTAAAAAGATTTATTTGAAAGTATGACAGAGAGAGAAAAAAAAACCGGGAGAGAAAGAGAGATCATAGACATCTTCAGCCTGCTGGTTCATTCCTCAAATGGCTACAACAGCTGGACCTGGGCCACTTCTAAGCCAGGAGCCAGAAACTCCATCCAGGTCCAGGCATCATCTGTCGCTTTTTCAGGAGCATTACCTGGGAATGGGATTGGAAGCCAAGTAGCTGGGACTCGAAACAACACTCTGATATGGGATGCAGTTATATATGGGGTGGCTTAACTTGCTGTACCACAATACTGACCTTGAAGTGTTGACAGCTTTAATATTAAACCCTAGAGGAAAAAAAAATTAAAGATTGTGATTTTGCTTTACGCTGCTTCCCATCATGGAAAAACCATATCCACCCATCTCAGGTGAATAGATGTTGCTGTTGCTCTTGTCTTTTTATTTTATTTTTTTTTATTTGAAAGTCAGAGTTACACAGAGAGAGAGAGAGGTCTTCCATCCGAATGGTTCATTCCCCAGTTGGCCGCAACGGCCAGAGCTGTACCAATCCAAAGCCAGGAGCCAAGAGCTTCTTCAGGGTCTCCCATGTGGGTGCAGGGGCCCAAGGACTTGGGCCATCTTCTACTGCTTTTCTCAGGCCATAGCAGAGAGCTGGATTGGAAGTGGAGCAGCACTCGAGAACTCAACATGGTGACACAGGAAGCCAGAGAAGGATTTTGGGGTATGTTCTTCTGTAACAACTTACAATTGGGGCTGGTGCTATGGTGTAGTAGGCTAAGCCTCTGCCTGTGGTGCTGGCATCCCATATGGACACTGGTTCATGTCCCAGCTGCTCCTCTTCCAATCCAGCTCTCTGCTAATGGCCTGGGAAAGCATGGAAGATGGCCCAACTGCTTGGGCCCCTGCACCTGTGTGGGAGACCTGGAAGAAGCTCCTGACTTCTGGGTTTGGATCGCCCAGTTCGGGCCGTTGTGGCCACTTAGGGAGTGAACCAGCAGTTGGAAGAGCTTTATGTCTCTCCCTCTCTCTGTCTTTAACTCTACCTCTCAAATAAATAAAATCTTTAAAAAAAAAAAAAAAGCCCAAACACCTTATCATTAACTCATAGTTGTGAGAACCCTCTCCCTGAGACCAGTAATCCCTTCTGAGGACAGAGCCCTTAATGATCGAATTACCTTGCACTGATCCTTACCTTTGAAAACTTCAGCCACTTCCTAGCACTGCCACACTGGAGAACAGCTTCTAACATAAGAACCCTTCTGGCATATACTCATACCATAGCCAAGCTGAAATACCATTCCCACATAGTTTCTGTGGAGTTTGTTGATGAAAATTAGCAAAATCTTATAACTTTTTAATTTAATGAATAGCTATTTTGGGGTTAGTTTTATGCTCCCCACTATGCGCCATGATTTCTCTGAGATTTGAGTAGATCTGGAAGCAATGAGAGGTGGTAGTGGAATGATTTGTAGAAAGATCTATATTCTCCTTCAAAGTGACTGTCCTGTGTGGGGTCATTATAGTCTCAAGCATTATAATGCAAATTTTCTCAGGGTCCCTTTTTCTAGCAAAGAGGGGCTTTGAAGGATTTGGGTATTCAGGATACTGAGATCAGTGAGAATTGACTTAAATGTTTCAATACCAGTTCTCTGAATGCCTTAACTTTTTTTTTTTAACTTTTATTTAATGAATATAAATTTCCAAAGTACGATTTATGGATTACAATGGCTTCCCCCACATACCGTCCCTCCCACCCACTACCCTCCCCTTTCCCACTCCCTCTCCCCTTCCATTCACATCAAGATTCATTTTCGATTATCTTAATATACAGAAGATCAGCTTAGTATACCTTAAGTAAAATCAACAGTTTGCTCCCACACAGAAACATAAAGTGAAAAATAATAAATGATTTTTTTTAAAATGATGATGAAATCAGATCAGACCTATTGTCATGTTTAATCCCAGTGAGAGTCAAGTT